AATCGGGAGTAACCGATAGGATTCAATCATAGAAAAATGTGTCCTCGCCAAATTTTTAGGAAAAGAATCAATCATTTTCCCTCAAAGAACCCTTCTAAGCATGTCTGGCAATGTCGAGCGCTCAACTCACCAACTCACCGAAATAAATTTACGTTAAGAGGGTCAAGTGCGGTGGCGCAATGCTGACTCTCTTGAGTACACAAGTCTTGAACGCTTTTTGGGCATCGCTATGTGCTGCGAGTACAAGTCCTGGAAAATAAGTTCTCTCTCAAAAATGGATTTATTTGAATAGGATATACTATGATGAAATTTTTCCTGAGGAGAAATAATTGTTCTTGATTTTAGTGTTCTATCTTAGCTCTTAAGTAGAAATACTGGAAGTTTTACGGGTTTGCTATGTGGTGAATTGACTCTCATCACTGCAAGTAATTAGTTATTAAATGATATCGAATCCATGACTCAGCTGAAAGAACCTGAACGTGCGCATTTGAATATTTAAGCTATTGCAATTATTTTTTTGTGAACTATCATGATGAACACAAAAAACGAGGAAACATCGTCGAACAAAGAAATGCACCGGTATTTTTTTTTGAGATTTAATACGCCTCATAACTTTAGTTTGCTGAACTTCAAAAAACTCCATTTTTTAGCTGTTATTCAAATTTATCTTGAGATTAAGGGTAGATTGCGATAAATTTGAAGCCAGTGCGAATATTGCGTGCAAGCAGCTATGGTATTTTTCCTACAGTGTAAGCAATAATCGATTTGTTCTTAGAAAGCTCTCAGAGAGCATCTTACGTCAAGCTTGACCTAAGTTTACTTTAACATGTAATTTAGTCAAAAAAAGGTCTTTATCATAGCTCACCATTCTAATATGCGAGTTGACGATGTTAAAATGCAAGAAAATTTCCAGGCACTTTTGGAAATCATTCTAAAATGTTCTTTTCCTCTGCGATCATTTCTTGTTGTTCTTTATTGTAAATCCTTTTTAGATGGATTAGTACGAA